AGTAAAAAAAGTTTTTTTTAACCACATTATCAGAGCAAAAAAAGTGATTATAAAATTAGTAATTAAACTTTGGTATAAATATAAATAAAAAATAACGATCAATAGACAATAAAGATTCAAGAAGCCTCAAACACCTCACAAACACAAAACCTCAAGGTTTCAAAAACATAAGATAAAAACATAAACAGTAAAATAAAATTTCATAAAAATATAAACAGTATATTTTAATAAAATAACATTTACCTGCCACAGCTCAATAACATTTCAGTTTTGCAAAAGATTTCTTTCCTTTTCTGCCTTGTCCTGAGTATTGTAAACTCAAAGATTTTGAGAATAAACAATTCATAACATCTCTTATCATTTGATTGCAATTAATCCCACTAACAGAAGCCAAACGATTTGCCTGTTACGTTTATAAAAATACATTATCATATTTAAATCTTTGAAATTAATACTGTTTACAAAAACAAAATAGTATTTCACACTAAGCAGTATTGCAATAAGAAGTATGACATCACAGGCGCGGATCTAAGGGGTGGCCATTGTGGCCATAGCCACGTAGTTTAAAATTAGATAGATTTATTAGAAAGTTTATTTTTTTTTTATCAAAGATCTTTTAGAACTTTTAGAAATAATTATTGAAATATTTTTGAAGAAATGTTATTGAAAAAGAATATAAGCAATTTTAAGACTTTTTTCGTCTAGTGGTTATTGATAAACTACGTCACACTAAATTTAAATTTCAAAAACTTCGCGGTAAACATTGCTAAAATCTCTGCAAAAGAGAGTCAAACTCTCCGTGACGTATTTTATGGAAACCCTTATAAGGGTTTCCATAAAATACGTCACTGAGATGAGAACCGTTGTGGCCATAGAGATTTCTGCCATGGCCACAACGGTTCCTATTACACGTTACCGACGTTTTATTCTATGAATAAATGCTCTGAAATAAATAATAAAATTTAAATTTAAATTTCAAAAACTTCGCGGTAAACATTGCTAAAATCTCTGCAAAAGAGAGTCAAACTCTCGGTGACGTATTTTATGGAAACCCTTATAAGGGTTTCCATAAAATACGTCATGTTTAAAATACGTCATATGTTTACCGCGAAGTTTTTGAAATTTAAATTTAAATTTTATTATTTATTTCAGAGCATTTATTCATAGAATAAAACGTCGGTAACGTGTAATAGGAACCGTTGTGGCCATGGCAGAAATCTCTATGGCCAAATTCCTTAAATTACGGCAGACACTATAAAATTTTCAGGGATTTTGCTCTAGCAAAAAAATCCGAAGCTAAGTTGGCTGCCGTTAAATTTAATCTCTATGGCCATTAGCTGTTAAGCTTAACAGCTAATGGCCATAGAGATTAAATTTAACTAACGACCCGGTTTTTTAATTAACGACCCGGTTTTTATTGTTGTTTTTATATTTTATGATGTACATACATCGACTGACATACAGGAATTGGCGCAACAAAATGTACATGCATCGACTGACAAATAGGAACTGGCGCAATAGAAACCAGGGTTTTTCAAAGTTTTTATTGAAAAAGAATTTTATTATAACCGAGTATGACAAAGATGGGTAATATTAGCGTTTTTACGAGCGGCTATTTCCTGAAATCAGATCCCTGTTTTGATTGGACGAAAAATTTAACTTGTATTAGGTCCGATAAAATGTTTATCGTTAGCCGGATCTTAGGAGTTGTATATGAAATATTAGTAAAGCGCATATGATATATTGGAGATATATATTTTAAATTGAGGACTGTTTGAAACTAGTTTTTTGTCCAATCAAAACAGGGATCTTATCTCAGATCTCATATAACCGATGATATATTAGGAATCTTCGACCATATAAACTGATAGACACGCAGTAAGTTTAATATTTTGAAGCCAATATCTTTTAGCGCGTGACGTCACGTTTGGGCAAAACAAAACGAGATAGAAACAAAATAAAGTTTTAAGAAAACGTTTAATGTAATTTTTTTATAATAAGTTTAATATTATTTAAAAACTTTTTTAAATAATATTAAACTTATTATAAAAAATTTTACATTAAACGTTTTCTTAAAACTTTATTTTGTTTCTAAATGTAATATTTTTTTTTTAAATAATATTAAACTTATATTTGTATCAACTTTTAATGCATTCTTAGATTTCTTAAAATAGAAAACGTTACAGTTAATACATTAATATACAAAATAACTTCTTATTGATTTGAAAATAAAATTTGCTTTGTTAATACACTTCGAATACGTTTATTATGTCGCAAATCGTTGATCGATTCAGCTTTGTGGTGCAATCGTATCTTTAAATATTTAGCAAGAATAATTTTGACTAAAGATATTATATGATTACCTTGAGGATTTTCATCAAACATATGATCATGCAAACAACTAAAAACAGATTTGTGCATATTACGCAAACATTTGACCACTAATATTTCCATTACGTTCCTTTTATTTAAACTACCTGTTTGCTCTAATATTCTAAATTCTGTTTCAGCCAACTTGCATAAATAAATAACATCAGTTGATGCGTTTATAAGGCCAGTCTTTGAATTTAAGGTATACTGTTTCAGTGTCACAAGTGTAGAAGTATTTTCATCCAGAGTTAAGGCACAAATGCAAGGATTACATTTTACAACTTGTTTAACTTGCCAAACTACAAACCCAGCAATATAGCTTACAACATCAACAACATAAAAAGATAGCGTTTCAAATTCTGGAAGCTTATAATAAGCATGGTCATTTAAATGAGACTGACTTTCAAAAATATCAATATCACCCTGTAAATTAGCATTTAAACATTGTATTCCCGATGGTATAATTTGAGACTTTTGGTTACTAGTTACAGTTAAAATTGATATTGGTGTTTGATCTAAGCATTTTGCATTTTGATTTATATATTTACTTAAATATTACGTTTATATGCACTTTCAAATTGGCGAGCTGTTGGGTTGTTATTATGACCACCACAACTACGAATAGCACTAAAAAAAACTTCAAGATGGTCTTGGGACAATTTATATGCTAAAACATATTTTAATATCAGTTGATTGCTATTAACATTTTCATTATAAATTGACTTCAAAGAATTCAGACTAATTATCATACCTAGAAAACCAATTTTTCTTCCTGATGTACACATAAATTGTCCATCTGGTAATTCTCTAAGGCTTTTCAGATATTCAATTATTTGATCAATGCGTAAAAATATTTTTTCTTTGTTCCAATTTTGTATGCCGCACTTCAAATTTTTTGCAAGTAAATTCCGACTATTTAAAATATCAAATGCATCATTAATGTTAGTAACAAAAGTTTCAGTTGGTTTACTATTCTTAAAATTTAAAGGGTACTTTTAAATTTACTTTAATGCTTTTGCCACACTTAAACTTAAAGTCTGAGCTGCAATTTTCACTTTCATTTTTTCCCGTACCCAGTCAATGTGTCGATTTCTAATTTTTGTAGCAATATGCAGACCTTCACTATTCTGTATATCTACTAATTTCTGCAAGTATGACCACTCTATAGGATTCCCATTAGTATCATAAATTGCTGGTCTACTTGCTAGTGCATTTCGTATGAGCTTTAACATGTGTGGAGGATCAGGTAAAATGTGTATTGGACGATTTGATATAGGATGAGGAAACCAAGTCTTCATGTTTTCAATAGAAATATTGGATCCAAAAAAATTTGCCATACTAATATTTGAAGCCGTTCCATCAAATGTAAGCGATATAATTTCTGCACCACTTTCATAAATAAACTGTAAACAATGTTTAACAATATTAGCTTTTTCAAAACCACCTAAACCATCAATTAAAAAATATGCAACAGGAAGCTTCCAACGTCCATTAACACAGTTAACCATAAAAACTAAGGCTTCTTTCGCTTCGGGTAAACTATCATTATTAACATCAGCACCAAAATCAATAAAACCAGAAAATTTATGACCTGTCTATTCAATTTTTTTTCTAATAGCCATCTCATCTAGCATCAAGGAACAAACAACACGTTGACCAATTTTCTGAGCCTCTTTTACTTTGCTATGAAGAGTAACTAAAACTTCATTACTAAATCCAGGGGAACAGTCAACACTTTTATACCATTTTTGTATAGTTCGTGAATGAGGAAGTCCATTATTAAATGTTTTTTTAACATAACTATATGCTTTAGCAGAATAGAAATTTAATGTTAAAGCAAAGCTTCGTAACTCTGGTGAGTAATGCTTTTTAAATTTTCCTTGTAAAATCCGACAAAACAACTGTTTTGTAGACTCAGACATAGTTCCCTGTAATTAAATAGATTAAATAAATTATTATATTATTCGTTACAATATTATATTTATACTTGATAACCTAATCAAGTAAAATTATTGATTCGGATATCAAGATGATAGCATAGTAAAAAGCCAAACAGATTTTATGTAAATAATACACAATAACCCAAACACACACACTTGTAAAAATAGTTAAAATTAAAAGAAGAGTCATACACCAAATTATTACAATAGCATTACAATCATAACAACAGTTATTACTGTGACAAATACAATAATTAATTCATTGCTATTCCTACCATAAATGTAATGAATTAAACTTTTTCCTAACTGTTATCTAATGATTAATGTAGTAAATTTTTAATCATAAAAAATTACTAAATTAAAACCATTTTTCAACAGTAGGTTGACTGAAACAAAATAATTCTAAAGGTATTATTTAAATAAGTAACAAATATTTAAAATAATTAAATAAAAAAAAAAAAAAATAAAAGTCACAAATATAAATATGTTTAACAACTACTCATAATAAAAATTTATATCATACCAATAGTGTTGTTGATATTTCTTCAGAAATCATACTTTTTGATTCAAGATGACGAAGGAATGAATATAAGTCTTTAATCCTTTTAATTAGACGACGCTTGGATTGCTGAAGCATTTTATTTTCTTTTGTTTGGCAGCAAGTTTACTTATAGATAATTTTAAAAACTTTTAACTATTTTCTGGTATTAACATATCATTTTCATTAAAATCACCAATATACCGTTTACCATTATTTTTAGGATTAATTTGACAATTTGCAACATTATTGTTCCTAAAAATATAAAGGTGTTAAATGTCACAAAAAGTAAACTCAAACGCTTAAATCAATATATGCCATTGTAAAATTAATTGTAAAGTATGTTATTGTAAAGTAATTACATTAGACTTACTGTATTGAATCATTAGTGATATTATTGTTAACATCAATGATATAATTGTCGATATATTGTTCCTAAAAATATATAGGTATTATGTTACAAACAGTAAACTTAATAATTTTAAATCAATATATGCCATTGCAAAAGGATTAGTTACATTAGACTTACTGTATTGAATCATTGGTGATAATATTGTTAACATTAATAATACAATTGTCAACGTTATTGTTCCTAAAAATATATAGGTATTATGTTACAAAAAGTAAACTTAATAATTTTAAATCAATATATGCCATTGCAAAAAGATTAGTTACATTAGACTTACTGTATTGAATCATTGGTGATATTATTGTTAACATTAATAATATATAGGTATTATGTTACAAAAAGTAAACTTAATAATTTTAAATCAATATATGCCATTGCAAAAGGATTAGTTACATTAGACTTACTGTATTGAATCATTGGTGATATTATTGTTAACATTAATAATATAATTGTCAATGTTATTGTTCCTAAAAATATATAGGTTCTATGTCACAAAAAGTAAAATTAATAATTTTAAATCAATATATGCCATTGCAAAAGGATTAGTTGCACTAGACTTACTGAATTGAATCATTGGTGATATTATTTGAAATAATACTTTGTCTGTTTTTTGGTGGTTTTCTGGAATAAGTACTTTTTTTTAAACGTGTTGGAAAATCAAATATAGAAGGAATTGCATCACTTTTTAGTTTCTTTTGTGAACTCCAAGGACTTACTTCATAACAATCAATTGTGAAATGTTTACCAGAAAGTTTAGACTGTTTACTAGGAGTAAAACCATCCCTCCGCATAACTTGTATCCATTTTCTCCTCAATTCTAAATCTTTTGGAAAACTACCAACAAAAAAAAAATATCAAATAGGTATATTAAATTAATATACTATTAAAATTCAAAATATAACGTAGGATCTTAGCAAAGAACGATTTTAGCTACGTACCCATGAAAAGAAACTCCTTTAGTATATCTTTGAGTGCAATTATATGCAGAACAAGATAAAACCATTATCTTTATACACCTATATTCTATTTGAAAACTAAAATTTTAACATAATAATACACTTAAGAAATATTAAAACTTTAAAATTGTTAAATACATCAAGTTATTTTCGCCTTAAACCCATATTATAAATTGTTAAATGCCCAAACGTGACGTCACGCGCTAAAAGATGTTGGCTTCAAAAGTTTGTAAATGTTAACATACGGTAAGACATGTCTATCAGTTTATATGGTCGAAGTTAGGAATAACTATTAGATAAATAATAAAATTTGTTGAAGGATAAAAAAATTTTCTTAATATATCATTGCATATAACTAATTAATTATACGAGCTTGTTGCGCATTCTTAATCTTATATAATGTATGATTGGACTAAATAACTTGTTTTAATTTATTTTTAAGATCTAATTTAATACAATAGATTTAATACAAATATAATACTATAGTTTTTATTATTAATTTAATAAAATTAATGGACCAATGATACAACATCAGTTTTTGCTACGTCTGCTAACATTTGTCCAACAACATCTGTATTTATAATAATGTATAACTACATCTGTCCAACAACATCTATTAATACACTGAGGTATAATAACATCTGTCCAACAACATTTGGAATTTCGTTGAGGTCGAATAACATCTGTATAAAAAGTATGATTACTTCAGATGGAGTTACATCTTTTCAATAATGTTGAGAAAACTACATCTGTGAATTCTTTAGATTTAGTTACATCTTTTTAGTTCTGTCATTGAAAAGATGTAACTAAAAAAATATAGATGATCTTGGATAAAAGTGTACAGATGATCTTGGACTAATCTACAGGTGTAGTTGGACAGTTGTATTAATCTTTTGCCAAATTAGTTCAGTATTAAATTTATTTGTTTATTTTAACACTTGGAAGAAATAAATTTTTTAGTATTTACATATAATGTAAATAAATATTTAAAATCAAATTAAATATTTAGTGTTTACATAAAACAATAAAGTTTATTTGAATACATTTATTTAATAAGACCTACAGCTTTAGTCAACAAAAATTTTCTGTGCATATCATTATGGTAAAATAAAAAAATAAATAAATATATTTTTTTATTTTACCATAATGGTATTTTATGAATGTTTATAATAAAAAAGGTAATTGAGAAATAGTGCAAAATTTATATTTAATTAGCAAAAAACCCTAATGTTTTTGTCTTCAGTTTGCTTCATTAATTTACAATTAATTAACTATAAACAAATGAAGCGAGTTCTTTTAAATAAAAAGAATTATCAACTACAAATATTAACATTTCTTTGTATAACTGAAAAATAACAAATAAAGCAAGTTTATCATTGTTTAGAAAAACTTTGTTTTGAAAACATCATGAAAATTTAAGTTAAATAAAATAGTTTTTGTACGAAGGTTTTAGGAGTTATTAATAAGTAATCATATGACAAACATTTTTTTTAAAAGAAAATCAGTATCTAAAACACATGCGGAGAAAAAAGTAAAAGTCGTGAAATAAAGATTTATAAAAAAAACAATGGAATTTTATAGAAGCGCTTTATAATTGATTGTGGAATTGATTTGGGTTACAAAATAATATCTTTATTAACAATGCCAAAGATATTATTTCATAAATGGCAACATTGCTCATGTCTTTAATTTGCATTCTTATCATATGTTGTCAGTTTAAACAGAACATTGCTTAGAATGGTTGTGTGAAGTGTTTTTTTCTAAAAAATTATTGCAATACCTTGTGAAGATTATTTTGTGACAATATTTTATTAATTACAAAGGTATGTATATTTAAATACTCACATTTTTTAAATTAAAATATATAAAAAAAATTTTTTTGTGGATAAGTTCAGAATTTTATTAAATATTACCTTCTTTTTTTAGCAATGGTGAGGACATGTAATATTTTTCCCCCAAAAAAGATTAAATTTATGGATTATTAAAAAATACAAAATGTCACAGTGTAAGATAGCTGAGATACTCAACATTTCTCAAAGTATAGTGAAGAGAGTGAAGCAAAAACTTGATTTTGAATTAAATCCAGGACTGATAGAAAAATTATAAATATTTGCCTTCAACAAAGAAAACTTTCAACTGATCAATTGATCAAGGTTGTTAATGAAGAGGCTACATTGCTACATTTTCCAACAAACAGTCCAGAGACCTCTTAAAGGATTTGGTTTAACTTCACATTAACCAGCACATAAACTAAAGTTAGTGCCCATTATGGTGAAGCAAAAATATATAAAAACTTCACTGATGACTGGAAAAAAGTAATGATTTTTCAAGTCATGAGTCAACGTTAAAGTATCCTACATGTCATGGTGTGATTTGTAATTAATTTTCAAGGTACTGGAAGGCTGCATATAGTAAATGGGATAATAAGACAAGATCAAGAGATAATTAGTGATGGACTAATAGCACAATGGTTCCCAAATATAAAAAAAATACATTTTTATGTATGATGGGACATCATGTCACAAGGTGAAAACCATTACAAAGTTTTTAAAAGAAAAAAAGATTGATGTCTTTGATTATCCCAGAAATCATCTGGATTTAAATCTGATTGAGAATGTATGTTAACTGCTCAAGCAGGAAAATTTACCTGAAAAAGTTAGGTTTAGTGATGTGCTTGAACATAATTTATAATTGTTTTAACTAATTTTTCTAATGGAAAATTGCATTGTTTTTAAAGTTGAAAACTAATATGTTAAAATTGTTTTTCTTTTTAGTGATTTTGAGCTTAGCTACTTACACTGTACTTTTAGAAATGATTTTATTAGTTAAACATCTGTCAGATGTTTATCTTTTAAATCATTAACTAAGTGGTCAGACATGAAAACCTTCAAATTAAAAGTCAACTTGACAAAATCAGTTAAAGGTAATTTAATTTTAAAACATTTAAGTTATAAAATCTTTAACATTTAAAGTTATTGCAAATAAGGTAAAATAATAAAATAACTTTTGTATTAAAATGTTCTTTGTACATTGTTATAATTCAAATTGTTTTATGTTGATAGTCAAGTCAAAATTTTAAATGGAGGATAATTAGCGCACTTTTGATTTATTTAATTTTTTATGACTAAAATCAAAATACTGTTAAATATTCATATATATTGTTTTAAGACAATGCTATGATAATTAGTTAATAGTTAAAAAAATAGTAAGTGAAAAACTTAGACCTACCAAAAGTCTTTTTACAATGAGCCTAATAAAGCATATGTTGATAAAAAAAAAAAAAATTTGGTAATACTAATTTGTTCCAGAGATAAGGACCATGCTAAGTAACAAATCTAGTCTTTTTTTTTGACAGACATTAAGGTTGTTATTAATACGAAGATTATATTTGTTTTTTAAGTTTCAAACTTTAAAGATTTATAAATAAGCTAAAAAATTTCTTTAACAATTAGACATTAGGAATAAAATAGAATATTGGTAAAATTTTGTGCCATAAATTAATTTAACATATTTTTGAAGTTTTAAATTTTAATAATTACTTTATTAGGCATTCATACAACAGACCAAAAAATTTTAATTGGTGCTGAGAATCGCAGAGAAAAATTGCTGTCATCTGGCCATAGTATGAAAAGTGAAGAAAATTTTTTAATTAATTTTCTGTCTCTTATGAAATAGTGGAATTTAAGTTTTATTATTTCTGGAAAATTTATATTTTTACCCTGCATTGAGTTTTGACTCATGACCTTATTGTCAGGTCAAAAATGACCTTAACTTTCATTTGAATAAAAATAAACGATCAAACATTTTGGTTTTAACAAACAACGATTTATTGTTCCAAAGAATTGTTACTAAGATAATAAAAAGTTATTATTAATTATAAGTGAATGTGTTCATCCAATTTATATCAACTCCAAATAAAAATAAAACTTACTCAAATAGTAATGCCTATTCTGAAAAAATATTTCAGATAGTATTTGTGATTTCTTTTTTTTTTAATCTAAACTGTCATAGCCAATAGAACTCTCAGGTTTTTAATGCAAAGTGGAATGGGAATGATAGGAGGTGGTGGGAGTTATTGTTCAAATTTAAAGAGGGTAAGGGGGCAATCTTATTTAAAAAGTTGATGGAAATTTTTCTTCAAATTAAGGAGCAAGGTTCGTAATAATGGCAGTGGGACTTTGTCTCCAGATGTAATTAAGCAGTGGTTTCTATTTAAAAAATGGTCTATAAACTAATAAAGAGGTAGATAAATTTTCCTCATGTACTAACATAATATCCCTGAAGAAAATGACTGAACTTTTAATTATAATATTATTAATTATAATAAAAATAAATTTTAATTATAATAAAAATAAAATAAATTACCTGACTTTAAAAGTTACTTTACTAATTCAAAAATAACATAAGATTCACCCTTTACAACAGAAGTTATGAAATAAAATAAAGTTTTAAAACATGTCACCTACATATAATGCAGATTTAATTAATGGTAATATCTTAGATTTTAACATAATTAATTTTAACAGAAACACCTGAATGTATAAATAAAATCCATCATAACCCAACTCTAGGCAACACTAGAAATGGACACCAAATACATAGCTGGAAATATTTTTTAAAAAACACTACTAAAAAGGAAATGTCAAACTATGGGAAATCTGGATTTAACTATAAACTTGGTAATTACACAGTCATAAATAAAGCTATTAATGAAAATGATTGGGAAAGTCTTTTTGGAAAAAATAGTATTAATGAGTGCTATGAAATATTCTTAATTATCTATGATAAATTATGCAACAAATATATTCCTAAAAAAAAAAACATACTTCAATAAACAACCACAGCCCAAACCTTGGATTGATAGAGAAGCAAAAAAAGCAATAAGAAACAAAACAAGTTTATGGCACAAACTATTATCTAATGGTTTTAAATGTGACCAGCTGAAAGTCCAATATATTTTAATCAACAAAACAATAAAAAATCTTATTAAAACAAAAAGAATAAATTATGAAAAAAAAATAGCTGACTCATCGAAAGAAAATCCAAAACTGTTTTATGCATATGTTAATTCAAACAGAAAAATAAAATTAGGCATTAATATAATAACAGATAAAAATGGTTCTTTACAAACAAATCGTGATGATATTGCTAATATCCTCAATGAAAACTTTCACTCAGTATTTGTTATAGAAGATCCAACAAATTTTCCTAATATTGCATTAAAAACAAGCAAGACTTTAGAATTAGATATAGACTCAATAATAACTTAAGACATTGTTAGAATTAAACTAAGTGAACTAAATGTCAATAAAGCATTAGGAGCAGATGGTGTAAGTTCATATGTGTTAAAAAATGTCAAAATAGTTTTTGCAAACCTCTAGAGTTACTATTCAAAAGATCCTTACAAGAAGAACAAATTCCACTCATATGGAAAATGGCTAATGTAACACCACTATACAAGAATGGAGATAAAAACGATCCTGCAAACTAGAGACCAATTTCATTAACGTCAATACCATGCAAAATTCTAGAGTCAATCTTAGGTAACAAAATAATGGATTACATGTTAGCAAACAATTTATTAAATAGTAACCAACATGGTTTTCAAAAGAACAAAAGCTGTACTACTAATCTACTAAAAACACAAGATATTTTACTTGATGCTATTGAGAATGGCTGGTGTGCTGATGTGTTGTATACAGATTTCTCAAAAGCTTTTGATAAAGTACCTCATATGCGATTGATGTCAAAGTTAATATCATATGGTATAGTTGGAGTAATTCTAAATTGGATAGAAGCCTATTTACATAATAGAAAGCAACGAGTAATTTTAGGGGATTGTGTATCAAAATGGCTAACATTTGAGAGTGGAGTTCCACAAGGTTCTGTCCTTGGGCCTCTTCTGTTTCTTATTTTTATAAACGATCTGCCAGACACATTAAAAAATAATATTAAATTGTATGCAGATGATAGCAAAATTATAAATATTTTTAAATCAGATGAAGATATCCGTATAAACAAATTACAACTAGATATTGATAATATTATGAAATGGTCGTCACTATGGTTAATGAAATTTAACTATGAAAAGTGTAAAATTATGCACATTGGTTTTAAAAATCCTTGTATAACTTATTCAATGTTCGACGCTGAAACTCAACAGTATAATATATTAGCAGCATCAAAAGTAGAACGTGATTTAGGAGTAATGATGCAATCTAATTTAAAATAGACCAGTCATATTGATAAAGCTGTTGGTAAATCAAATCAAATGCTTGCTCTTATTAAACGAACTTTTAAATATTTTGACTCAAATATGACAAAAAAATTATATACAACTTTTGTAAGACCGCATCTTGAGTTTGCAATCCAAGCATGGTGCCAGAGAAGGGCAACAAAATTCGTACCAGCTTTTAAAAAAATGCCATATGAAAAAAGATTACAGTTAATGAAATTAACAACTCTAGAAGAACGCCGTTTAAGAGGAGATCTTATTTTTCAATATAAAATACAAAACGATTATGAGAAAATAAAAAGGATAAACGACTCGACATCTCAAGTTCAATTAAAACCTTACAATTTTCGTAGTCATAACCAAAAGTTAACAAAGGCATATTGTAAGAGCAATTATAGATATAATTTCTTTTCTTGTAGAATCGTAAATGCTTGGAATGGCTTACCACCATATATTATCGAATTAATGACAATTGACCAATTCAAAAATAAACTTGATAAATCAGATTACTGCAAAAATTATTTATTAAATACTAAATAATATCTATATACATTGAAAAGTAAACAATGCTATTATAAAACATTTATAGCTGTTATAGCACAACATCTTCTGTTGTTGTGCTCCACATTTGATTTCATCAGTTGTCACAGTGTATTTAAATATTAAGGTTGCAACATTTGGCTTTATTAATGACAATAAAATATCATCAAAGAAAAATGTCAAATCTAAATTACTGTCTAGTTTTTGTAAAGCATTTTTTCAATCAAATCTAACTAATCAATTACTTTCTGTTTTGCTTTACATAACTTTTTTGTTTGACTTTTTTAAAAGCATTAAGTCACTTTTATTTTCTGCAACAATGGCAAAATTACCAGACTTATTAGATTTCAACTCATTGCAAACCATCTTTGACTTTTTTAGTCATAATTTTTGTAGCATTTTTGTAGGTAGAATCGTAAACGTAAATGCACCAACATTTGATATTTTTGGCTTCATACAGTGACACCATCATTTGGCTTTCTAAATTCTTCTTTTGGAAAACCTTAAAGTGCATTTGGATGTACCTAGTGCAATTATATTCTTATTATTTTCGTTTATTTATTAATTAATTAACAATTAAGATTAATGTAATTGTAAGATACATTTGAGTAACAAGATTCAGTGATTTTATAGATGTGAGACATATTTGTTTATCAAGAATATTATGATATTATTGTTTTCGCTTGAGTCATGCAGTTTAAAAGAATTAGTATTTTAATTCAAGCCATAAAGACCATAACTAAAGAAAAGTCTAAAATTTGTATTTATTTATTTTTGTTTTTTCTAAAATCTAAATTAAGTTCAAAGTTCTTTAACAGCGGTTCTTGATGACAAGACCTGTATGGTCTTCTTTGTGTAGCTGCTCTTTATCTTTATTTTTTAACGATTTCTTTGCATGTAATTTTTCTTATTGATATATTTGTAAATATTGTAATAAATAAATAAATAAAAAAAAAAGAATCCATTCCAATTATTTAACAGTGTACTATACTTTCTAAACTTGGAAAAAAAAAATTTTAACTGTGTTTACGTTTGTCAAAATGAAACAATGCTTTATTTTTTTATTTTTTGAAAATTTAAAATTTTGACTGCGAATGTTATTTAAAAAAATTTTGAAGCAAAAATTTTGAAATGTTGAAATATTGAAAAACATTGTTATTTCAAAAAATAACAATATTTTTTCTTGATAAATTTTGAAAAATTTAAGACTTTTCCAGAATTTTTCAGAAAAAAATTAGGCCTTTAAACAAAACTCACGGTTAAAAACAATTATTTTATTGCAGCTTGTGGCTAAAATTTAATTAATTTTGAAGAAAAATATTTTTCTTTTGAGATACAAAGGTGTTTCATCTCTTGCAAAAAATGTTAATTTTAAAGCATTATTTGTTTATTTGTTGGGAAAAATTGCTAAATCAAGTGAAAAGTTTGCTTTTAAGCAAGTTAAAGTCTTATTTTTTTGAACTTTTTTCCTAAAAGATGTAATTGCTTAAATAAAAACTTTCTTCCTGGTCAAGCAAAACTTATTGACACATGTCAAACTTGGTGGGTACAAAAGCTTCGTGGACTTGGTTTTTTGATAGTTATTCTACAGTTTTTTCTGCTTTTGAAGAAATAAAAGACAATAATTTAAAAGAGTACAATAAAGAAACATCTTTAAAAGCATCTTCTTTTATGAAGTTATTGACAATTTTTTTTTTATAGTTTCTTTAGTTTTAACTTAAACATTTAATGGATTACTTTTATGGAATTTCTGTCACCCTTAAAAATAAATCTTTTGATATTTCCCAGCAACTGGATGAAATTCAAAATTTGACTAATCGTTTAAAAGAAATACGAAGAAATGCTGATGCTTACCATAACAAATAGTATAAAATTGCTCTTGCATTGGCTAAAACATTTGATATTGATGGAAAAAAACCTAGAACATGTGGTGTTCAAAAGCATATAGATAATTAAATATGTGATACTGTATCTGATAGTTTAAAGTTTTTATTACATTGCCTCTTCTTAATCATCTCCTTAATGAACTAGAAAATAGGTTTGATATTGAGAGCTTAATTGTTTATAATGGTCTTTGTGCTATTCCTGCTAAGTAAATTTTTAGATATTGTCCATGGAAAGAAAAGTTCCTGATATTTTTGAATTTTTGTAAATCTAATCTTCCTCATTTCTCATCAATTAATGCTGAATTAGAGTTATGGGTGGAAATTTTGGAATGAAAAGACAGAATTACCATCTACTATTTCAGATACATTTAAGTTTAGGGATATGAGAGGCTTTCCAAACATTTTAGAGGCATTTCATATACTTGCTACAATACCAATCACAACGTTAAAGTAAGTCCATTCAATCTATTTTCTGACCAATGTCAGAAAATAGATTGAATGGACTTACTTTAACGTCTATTTAATGTTATTGAAATATTTGCATCCAAAGGAGACAAAAAATTAAAGTTTTTATTCAAATAAAAATTTTGAATTTCTGAGTAAAAAATTTAAGTACTGTTTTAAAAGTATCTCGTAAATGTAAATAATTTCTCAATAGCAAAATATTTCTACTCATTGTTTTAAACATGTAAACTGTCAAAATCATTTTTTATTAGCAAATTATTACTATTCATTGTTTTATACAAACTGTGAAACTCATACTTCATTTGCTATTTCTTTTAATTCCTAATGTTGAAAGTGTTTTCATGTGATTTAGGTTGTTACTTTTTTGATTGTTGCTTTATTTTTTGTATTATATTTTGTCTTGTTTATTTATTTATTAAAATTTATTTAAAAAAAAAGTAAAAAAAAAATTTACATAACTGCCTATTAAAAAAAAAAAATCCAGAAAAAGTGGGCTAATCTAAGGCAACACGACAGTTTACTGGTGGAGTGCAAAGTCCTATGGCTTACCTTCTCTTTAGTGCACTTCGTTAAGTGATTTAGACAAGTACTATGTCTAATTTATGAACTAAATAGCCAAGGCAATATTTTGAATAACTTTATTACTAAATAGATAACTAAAAAAAATCAAAATAAACTTTACCACGATTGATTCGAATGTTTAGAATAAGTTTGCAGAATTAGCAGAATATTGTCAAACAAACACAAAGTAAATAGATTTCAATTACAAGTAAAAAGTGAAATATCTGGTTTACAAGTCGACTATATAACATTTTTTTACCTATAATGCTTTTTAATATTTTATGTAATAATAATTTTAAAAATGTATGCGTTTTTGAATTACACAATTGTTTAGAGAGTTTATTTCTAACGAAAAATATCAAAATTAAGTGTTTTTTTTTATTCAAACAGAAAGCTATTTCTACTGAATAAGATTAAAATATGATATAATTTTTGTAAGTCTATGTATATAATATGAATGATCTCTTATTAATTTTATTAATTGATTCCTTATATAAAAATTCGCCTGTGACGAATTCGACGCTCATTTCGTCTACAACAGAACAACAAAGTTTTTAGCCTAAAGCTTGGCGCTCTCAGATTAATAAATCTAGAGTAGTTAAGTAAAGTAGGTTAGTCTCCCTACGTATTAAAGTTTTAAAAAATGATACATAATGAGTCCGTGGGATTACTTCATCGGTCCTTCCCACAGAAAAAAACAAAAGTAAAGAAATTTAGCTTAAAATGGGAGAAGGGGATAGGGTGATGTCATCCCCTCTTCCTCCACTGGCCAATATCGAATTGTATTTGGCAATTTTAAATATAGTTGGCAAATTTTTACATTTCAAAGTCAGCAAATGTAAAAAATTTAAATTTTAACCTTTTTTTTTTTTTGTCGTTTATCGTTTATGGCACTTCCCCCCCCCCCCCCTAATCACTTAATAAAAAAAAAAAATAGGTGTTCGCGCCGTCCACGAACCCGAACATGGCCACACAGTTACAAATTCCTGAATCCGCGCCTGCATCATACTATTATAGCCCGCTGTATGTATGTGTATCATGGCGATACTTATTACAGGCCTTCCCGTCGCGAATCCGTATTTTTGACTGGGGGCGGACAATCTTACGGAAAGATATATTTTAGTTTTTTTTAAAGTTCGATTTGTGAGTAATTGATTATTACAATAAATGGTTAAAAAGTGCTGTGTTCCTGAATGTAGAGGAAACTATGACGCTAAAAATAAAGTACGAGTTTTTAGGCTTCCCTCCAATAAAAAAGAAAGAAATCGTTGGATAAATTCAATTCCTAGAAGTAATTTTCCAAATAAACCAGATACTGTTGTCTGTGAAAGACATTTTCCAGAAAATTTTTTAACAACTATTGTCAATGGGAAAGTTAGACCAATTGAACCTCCTTCAATTTTTCCAAACATTCCAGCTAGTGTTGTACCAACTCAACCTTTAAAACCAAGGTCCACTACTAAAGTGTTGTCTTCTATCAGAACTGAAAAGTGTGATGAGTTGTCGCAATATTTAAAAAACGATTTGTTTACATTCATTTTTTTATGTGAAGATATTAAAAATCGTAAATTTATTTGTCCTGTAACTACTTTTGTTATAAATGATGTCTTGCACATCCAATCAAATTCCTTTTATGTTAACTGTATACCTATGTTTGCTGTTCATATCTCAAGCAATTTTAAATTTGAAAGTTTTCATGCTGGTGTTCGTTGTTTTATTTCTTCACTATCAAAAAATCGTATAGCATATCTTGATCGCTGGTCAAGAGTTGAAGAAACAATTCGCTTTTTGAACAACATTGAAATTGATCATCAAAAGTTAGTATTACAAGATCTTATTACATCTATGAATGCATCAGAAATAGGTACAAAAATTTATAATGTAGAAACTATAATCAGATCCTATTGTTATTTTTCAACGTCTCGATGCTTATACAATAAGGTACAAAAAGATTTTAAATTGCCAAGTGTAAAAACATTAACAAAAATTACATCTATGACAAAAAAAGTTTCAGACATTGACTTTATTAGTACCATTTTTTCAAATTTAGAGGAAAATCATAGAAATTGTATACTTATGGTGGATGAAGTTTATGTAAAGTCTCATCTTCTTTATCATGGTGGTTATCTTTTTGGAAAAGCAGAAAATAATCCAGAGTTGTTAGCAAATAGTGTTTTGGGTATTATGGTTAAATGTTTAAAAGGTGGACCATCTTTTATATGCAAAATGATACCTGTCTGTCGTTTGGATGCTTCTTTTTTGTTTGAGCAAGTATGCTATGTCATTAATTTGATTAAGTCTAGCAATGGAAATGTAATTTCAGTTATTTGTGATGGCAATCGAACAAATCAAGCTTTTTTTAAATTATTTGAGAGAGTTGAAGGAAAACCATGGTTAACAAAATGTGGAATTTTTCTCCTTTTTGATTATGTTCATCTGCTAAAAAATATTAGGAATAACTGGATTACAGAAAAAATGCAGGAATTACAATTTGAAAAAGACCAAAATTTGACTGCCAAGTGGAGTGACCTTAAATGTATCTTAGATTTTGAAAAAGATCAGTTAATTAAGTTATCAAGACTAAATTTTATAGCTATACATCCAAAACCCATTGAAAGACAAAAAGTATCACATTGTTTAAGAGTATTTTGCGACGAAACTATAGCTGCTCTCAAAACTTATTCAAAAGTTATCCACCCTTGCAATATGAATGAAACTATTTGTTTTTTAGAAAAAGTTACTAAATTTTGGAAAATTGTAAGTGTAAAAGAAATTTATGGTGATATGAAATTTTCAGATTCTCGTAAGAGAGTTATTTCTGAAGAATTAGACATAAATTTGCAGTACTTACTTGATTTTGGAGATATGGCATTTAAAATGAGTGGTGAACAAGGTCATAGAATGAAATCTTTAACTAAAGATACAGGTACTTCAATTTGGCATACATGTTATGGAGTTGTCGAGATGTGTAAATATTTGCTAAAAAACAATTTTGATTATGTTATGTTAGGAGAGTTTTCAACAGATTACATTGAAAAAGCATTCAGTAAGTTTAGGCAAGGTTCAGGTGGAACATTCTTTATAACAGTTCAAAATGTTGTTGAAAAGTTAAACATTGAAAAAGCTAAACTGTTATTGCAATTAAAAGTGGATGTTACAGATTATGCTATTGATATCGAGCATTCTTGTCAAAAATGTGGCTATTTTATAAGTGAAGAATCTTGTGACATCATTAATCAATTACCTGAACTAGAATCATCTTTGTCATTGAGTACAAAAATGGCTTTGTTTTATATTGCAGGTTATGCTACAAGAAAAGATGATGTTAGTGAAAATGATTTGTTTAATGATACTGCATTTTATTTTCAGTTATATGGAGACTATACAAAAACTATAGACCGCGGTGGATTGAATATACCTCTCGATTGCTGTGTGCAGTGGGTATTTTTTTGTTTCATTTTTTTTGAAATTGAGAAAAACAAAATGTGTAGAAAGTCATTGTGTAATACTTTCATGATGATATCTGATATTTATAACTTTAATATGTTAAAGAAACATGGTACAATATTATCAAACATATTTCTTAAAAATTATTGTTTGCTTTTTTCACCCAAGTCCAATAAAGAACCTGCATTGAAAGTTTTAAAGTTATCTGTATAACATTAAAAAATTATTATGTACATTTTTTTATAACATTATTGATGTATATTTTGATATTTTTTTCTTTTTAATTGATGTATATTATGTTTTTTTCCTTTTTGTTTTTTTGCATTTTATAGTTGGTTCATTTTTTTGTGATTTAGATTTTAAATAATTACTCATTATTCTGAAAAATATTGTATTTTATTCTTTTTTTCAAAAAGTTTTTTTTTATTTTAAATTTGAAGATTCTTAATAAACACTGCAATAGACATTTTTTGCATTAATACATTACTTTTTAAAATTTAGTAAACTAACTAAAAATAATGGATTAGTTCGCAAACTTTTCTAGCCATTTTTTATATTTTTCCGTAAGATTGTCCGCCCCCAGTCAAAAATACGGATTCGCGACGGGAAGGCCTGTAATAAGTATCGCCATGATGTGTATACATATATACATAAATATATATGTATATTTATATATATATATATATATATATATATATAAAAATATATATATATATATATATATATATATATATATA